GATCTCATGCTAAGTGTTCTAACAATAAAAACAACCGTTTAGCCCTGGCGGGTTTGCTCAGTGGTTAGAGCGTCAGCGCACGGACCAAAGGGTCACGGGTTCAATTCCAGCCAAGGGCACGTATCTGGGTTGCGGGCTTACTCCCCGGCCCTGGTCGGGGCACACGAGGGAGGCAGCCAATCGAAACATTGATGTTTCTCTCTCTCTGTTTTTCCCTCTCTTTCCCTCCCTCCCTTCCACTCTCTGGAAATTAACTGAAAAAATATCCTCAGGTGACGATTAAAAAAAAAAATGTTTAGCTGTTGGTTTTGCCTGACGGGAAGCTTGGTGCCAAATTTCGAGGCTTCACTCTGTCCTCCCTATTCCACTGGCCAAGGGCCATTGTGAGCACGTTGCTGTGCAAAGTGTCTACTATTTTCCTACTGCGATTTTCCCTCTCCCTGGTCCCCTCATTTATTTATCTCTGACCGTTGAATCACAGTATCTCTTTAAGTCACCCTAAATTAGCCTCTTTTTTCTCTCTCTGGAATTAGATCTATAATACATAAGCATAATTTAAATACAGTAAAAATGAAACTGAAAAGATTTCATTGTAGTCAATATATTTTTAAGTAGGCTCTGTTTGGATAAACTAAAGGTGAAATAAACATTTCGTTGGGAATTTAATTTTATGTATAAGAATATTTTCATCTAGACATTCAAATATTTTCATATTTAAATAACAGAATATTCTTAGATCAACAGAACTGAGAGAAATTCAGCAGAAGTAAATGAAACAGTTTAAAAAATAAATTGACCCTATATTCAAGTTTTTTCCAAATCGAAAATACTTGGAATGGTTGGCAAATATCTTTAGTGTGTTGCATTTAAATGAATACTCAATTTATTCTGAGAAAATCTGACACTGGTCCTTTGAAATGGCAGATGAGACTAACGTCTTGAGTCACGTTCTCCATCTACCAAGAAAGCATGTGAAATAAGAATGTACTAAGGGGACATGGGGGTTCACGTATGAGAGTTTCATTATCCTCATGTTAAAAAATTTGAATCCTAAGTGTGACTGCTTTATTATAGGATTGTGATTTTTGAAAAAGCCTCAGCATCTTGCAAATGAGTTTATTAAAAATTGTGTAATTGAAATGCAAACGTGTATAGTTGGCTTTGACCACTAAAGGGTTTCAGAGTGTATCGCTAGCAGTTTGGTGTTTCAAAAGATCCAGAAAGAGCAACAGGTTATTAAATAAATAACAAAAGAAATGCGTTTTCTCTGCTTTTCTCCTGATGGAGCTAAATTACTATTGCTCTTCGGTTTTACAGAAAACACTTTCCAGACAGACTCAATAAGCTGCCACATCTCCAGACCACAGGAGCCTTCTAATATGACAAGAATAATCTAGAAATCTTTGCCAAGTTCATTATCTTATAATATTTTAATGATTTTGTGGTGAGGTGAATGCAAAAATACTCTGTAGGTACTTATTCAATGACCTTATGGGGACTCCGGAATCCAGAGTTCATGTGTGGAATACTTTTATGATTTCCCCTCAGTTTTAAACTGTAGTCAGAGCTTTTCAAATTCCTTTCATGTCTAGCTCTATCCCTCTATACCATTACGTTAGCATTCTATATCATATTTATAAAGCTATCCCATTGTTTTGGGCTGAATTATGTCCCCGCAACCTTCATAAGGCCAAGCCCTATCTTTTGACATGGTTACTTGTTATGAGCTGAAATAGTGTCCTCCAGAATTATATGTTGAAGTCCTAACCTCAGAGCCTCAGAATGTGACATTTGGTGATAGGACATTTAACGAGGTAAGTTCAAATAAGACCATTATGGTGGGCCCTAACCCAATATGACTGGCGGTGTCCTAAGAGTGCTTTGGACATAGGTATGTACAACGGGAAGCTCACATGAAGACATGAGAAGACAGCTAGTTACAAGGCAAAGGGAGAGGCCACGGAAGAAACCAACCCTGCCGAAACCCTGACCTCGGACTTCCATCTCCCAGAACTGCGAGAAAATTAATTTCTGCTGTTTAAGGCACCAAATCTGTGGCGCTTTGTTTCGCCAGACCTAGCAAACTAATGCAGCCATTAAATTGGATATAACAATCAAAGATATTGTCCATAGTATTAAGGGGAGGGTGACCAAGAATGAAGCCCGGATCATTTTCATGAATCTCTACATGTATGACTCGTCCCATGTGCATTTTACTATATTTCAGGCTTTAATAGACCGTAAGTCTTTCCTGGGCTTTTTTGCTTGTGTATGAGTACGTACGGTGGAAACTGCCGTCAGTCATGTGTACTGACAGAGGGACAGGCCATGCAGGCATTTCTCTGCCTTTGTCTTACGATGTAAAGGGCAGGGGTGGTGATACTATTCTAGCCAAGAGAAATGTCTTGTCTCTTTCTTCACTTTAGTATAAAATCCAATCATCATTTTAGCAGGACACGCTGGCCACCCAGTTAGAGACCATCTTTTGTTACTCTCCTTGGAGGCTAGATACGATCATGCGACTAAAATGTGGCAAATGGAGTAGGCGCAGAGAGAGTGCACGGAGCTGTCACAACACATCTTGAGGAGGAAGCTGCTTGTCCTCTACGTCTTTCTGTTGAGTGGTGGTGAACAAGTTTTAGCATGAGAGGACATACCCAGAGGACTGCAGAACAATGGAACGAAAGGGACCTACATCTTCTGAGAACTTCATGGAGAAAAGTCACTTCCTCCACCCAGAACTTCCATGAGACAGAAAGAAACCTCTGTCTTCTTGGAGACATGGTATTTTTGCCTTATTTCTTACAGCAGCCCAGCCTGCATCTAAGTATATGATTGTCACTGGTTCAAAGTAAATCATCACCTAAAAATATAATATTTGTTTGGGCGATAAGAAAAAAAAAGGCCAATGTAATTTTTAACCTGTATCCTCTGTACACTCCCTACTATAATAATATAAATATATATATACACACATATATATGTATTCCTAAACTAAAAAATATAATTCAATATCTTATCTCTAACAATAAATCTATTCTGAATGGAAAAAAAAGAAAAGCATTCACTACTATTTATTTGAAAAAAATGTATGACAAAATTTTATATCTACTTGTCCTCTGAATCTACATAAACAAAATCAGTTATCAATTTTGGTCTCACTTATAAGTTTTTATATGATGCAATTAAAATTTCCTAACTTTGGATAATCTAGATAGTCTTGTTGAATTAAAAATAAACCACAAAAAAAAAAAAAATAAAAATAAAGCACAGAGCCCAGCCAGTGTGGCTCAGTGGTTGAGTGTCAACTCATGCACCAAGAGGTCACTGGTTCGATTCCCGGTCAGGGCACATGCCCAGGTTTTGGGTTCCATTCCCAGTAGGGGGTGTGCAGGAGACAGCCGATTGATGTTTCTTTCTCATCGATGTTTCTATTTCTCTCTCCCTTCTCCCTCTCCCTTCCTCTCTAAAAAAAAAATATTAAAAAAAAAAAAAGCACAGAGCTCTTAAACATCTAGTTAATACAAGCACAGGTTTGTTAATTTAAAAAAATCAAGGGGGTAGGGTGTGCTATTGATACTGTTGTAATGAACCCAGTTATTAATAACAGGAAAGAAGTAAAGGGAAAGCCAAATATTACAGACATGCCATTTGTGCAGCTTTGCCAGGAAGCTGCAGTTTAACAATCCCCAGGTAGCCACCAGTCCATTCCTCACTGACTTCTGGAGGAAGGGACTAGACAGGGGGAGAACAGACCCATGCCCAGTAAAATCTGGGTGAAATAGGGAAGGTATTTCTCTGTCAGTCACACCTGGAACAGGTCATTGGCCTGAGTAGGCGTGGCCACTGCAAGCACTAGAAGATCTGAGACATTTAATCTCCTAAACAAAGGAGTTCGCTCTATTGTGCTCCTGGTTTCTCAGGGGCTCTCATGCTCCGGGGCCCCTGCATTTGCCCACATGGCCCACAGCCATACAGACCCCCACACACAATGGACTAATGGACAGCAACGAGCCTGAACCTGAACTGGACCCAGCTGCAACATGGAAAGGAAACTTTAGACACTGGCTTTGCTTCTAGCTCTGCTGAATCCCCAGCTACACTTCTTCCAGGACCGGATTAAGGGAAATGGGACTTTGCAAACCCAGGGATGTAATTCCACACAAATAAAAATCACTCATCCTCCTATGCAAGTCTCAGAAATTCTTTTTCTCAAGATACCGTAAGGATCCAACCCCCCGCACTCAGTGGGGAAAGGGGTACCCCACTTCTACCGGAAACACCAATATTTATTTTTTTATAAATGTCCTGTGCTTTGGCAAAGTTTAAGGTGAAAACACACACTATTAATATAAATTATTTCCTTTATATCAACACACTTTCTAGTAATCAATCAACTGAAAAAGATTAAGTTATAAGTGTCTTGACCTTAAATTTAGGGAGAAATAATGTCTGATTGTCTGTCAGAGAAATAGCAAGAATTTCCCAGCTGAGGATTAAAGAAAACTCTGTGCCCTTTGGTGATGAAAATGACAGCAGCTGCACAGGCCTCTTGAGAGTTTCTTTTTTATTGTGACATAAGCCATGTGCTGATCTTGCTGGACATGTCCAGCCCAACCGTCTGCAGTGTCTGTATCCCTGCCCTTCTCATGGTTGTAGGGTCCCTCTGGGCAGTCTGTCCTGGGCAAACCAGGGAACACAGAATTTCATGTTTGGGCCCACTTTGTGAGTAATAATGCTGTGTGTTTACAGGACTTGTTCATAACCTACCTAATTCTAAACAAGCTTTGCGGACACTTTTGCTAAAGCTTCCCATTGGTTTTATCATGGTCCTGAAATATACAGAGTTAAACTACTGGCGAATTTTTGAGAAGAGGGAAAATGAAGCAAGATAATACTTAGAATTCTATTATTGTTGTACATTAATAGCTCCTTATAAAATTATATAACTGTGTGTTTTCATGCACATTACAAATAGCCTACAGTGATACAGGTTTTACCTTTCCCCAGGCGACTTCAGAATCCAAATTACTAGGCATTCCTTCAACTGCTGATCTCTTTGTCAGCTCCGTATCTGTAGCTGCCAGCCATTCTGTCAGGGCATTCATTTCCTTCCGCATCTTCCGGGACAATTTCAAGCATTTCTCCAACTGTTGCTTTCTTTCTGTTACCTGAAAAGAACGATAATAAATTGTAATTTGGTTTACTTTTTCAATCCAGCTTCAGTTATAGCCACTTAATTGGAACTTTCATATTTTTGTCATTTTAAAATAACCTTTTTCTTCTTAAAAATATTTCAGAAAAATCGTAGGTTCTGAATATTAGTAGTGAAGAACACAATCTAGGAAAGATGAGGTCCTATCTCCAGAAGATAGTGTTTTGTATCAGGCAGAAAGAAAAGCTAAAAGGAGCCCGGCCAGGTGTGGGTCACAGGTTGAGCATTGACCTAGGATCCAGGAGATTGGGGTTCGATTCCCGGTCAGGGCACATGCCTGGGTTGTGGGCTCGATCCCCAGCAGGGGGCGCACAGGAGGCAGCCGATCAATGACTCTCTCATCATTGATGTTTCTCTCTCCCTCTCCCTCTCCCTTCCTCTCTCTGAAATCAATAAAGATATATTTAAAAAAAAAAAGGAAATGCCAAAAGGATTTTCTCTAATGTAAATAATTTATGGCCACTTTTTAAACAAGTAGAATTATGTAAATCAAATTGAAGATATGACGCATTTCTTTCAGAAAACCTTCAGTCATTGGTCAAAGAGATGCGGCAGGAGGTTTACATTCCTGTATATGCAAATGAGGCTGGCTCTTGCAGATAAAAAATCAAAATGAAGAAAGAATACTAAGTCTCTCAAGAGGCAAAAGTATTTGTATAATGCTTATAGCAGCCAATGTTACAGTCATAGCATCAGTAAAGTGGGGTACGTTTGCACAAAAACAGCACAAAAAAATAGGCCTCTTCCCCTTTAAACATGCTTTTGTCATCCAATGGGAGCAAAAAAATTCCAAAACAGAATTTTCACTGTCATTCTCATGAATAGAGAAAAGCATGAGATCCTGCGTTCCAGTTCTCAGTGTTGAAAACAGACACCCTCAAAACCAAATTCTTCCACGTCCTCACACACAAAATAAACAAATGTGTATTTTTCCACCACTGCTACAGGTGTGCCTACATTTTATAAACATGTAGGTTAGTTGGTTGGTTGAATAAAAAGCCCAGAATCTCTTCCTGGTGTCTGTGTGTGTGTATGTCTTCTACAAGTGAAAATATGTTTAAAGAACTTAAAATGTTACAATAAAAATAAACACGGAAACTTTGATATGAATTCCAAATATTCAACAAAATTTACTAGTTTCTTTAACAGAGGTGTATATAAATTTTAAAAATGTTTAGTTACTGAGGCTGCAAAGTCGATTGTTTCTACAGATTTTTCCTTCTATTTTTTCCTTCAGGGAAATAAAAGCATCTGCCCTTTCGACTGCTAGGATTTTATTCATGTGTGGGAGAAAAAAGTATACCTTATGGTGCGTTCCTATGCATAGGTATTTTTTCTATGCACTACTGGTAGAAAAGAATTCTAGATTCAATATTTCAAAGAAATTCTATCTTCCTGGAGCTAATGCATTATTGATTTTTATTTATTCTTTTTTGTTTATATCCAGCTAAATAAGATTTAATAAAACAGGAAACACTGCCATCTTAAGGAAAGCTGAGTTTTACACTTTGTGTGTCTGTGATACATTTAAAAGAGTGCCACCTGCAGTAGAATGTTTCAGTAGCCCTTGCTTCATGAACACTTAAAAATGTGAGGCTGATATGAGTATTGAGGCTTTGGGTATTTGAGGCTGATATGAACATTGCTATTTATGTATAGTTCCATAAAAATCAAAGCAAAGAGAAATCACACAGGAATTATAAGAATTATTACATCTGAGGTGCTAGGTGTAATATCCCTCAATAAAATTAAGTAGATTTAGATATAAGAAACTCTTTGATTTTTATTCATTAAACAATTAAGCTAAGTTGGTGATAGTAAACAAACTAATAAAATTGTGTTCTATAAGGAAAGTGCTGTGGACTGAATTGCATGTCCCCCAAATTAATACTGAAGCCCAAACCTCCAAGGTGACTGTATCTGGATATAGGGTCTTTAGGAAGTAATTAAGGATAAATGAAATAATAGGGTGGGACCCTAATCTGATAGGATTGTATCCTTATTAGAAGAAAAAGAGATCTCTCCCTCC